CGCACGATGGTGAGATGATAGATGATAACTTGTTATAAGATACTATATTAGCCAAAGGATAGAGTGTAGACATCGAAATTTTGGTAAATAAATGTTGACCGATAAATCAAAATTTCAACGTTCACGTGTCACATAAATTTTACATGTAGCGTGTGACTCAACGAAAAAATCGAAAAGAGTCAGAAAAGTCATCAAACAGGACACGTGTCAACACCTGGCAGAAACGACTTATTTCATCTAGAATATTATATTCAAAATTAGGCCTTGGAAATTTCTATAAATAGAAGGCTAATTCATTCATTTGGGGGGACAAAAAAATTCATAACCAATTCACATTACACCAAAACACTGAAGCTCTGAAACTCTAAAGCTCCCAAGCAAATCCAAAGGATCAAGAAAGCTCTCTTCGTTCTTCGTCAACTCAACCTTCAAGATCAAGCCCCAACGGCTATTCGAAGGAACTTCCACCAATTCAAGATCAAACCCCGACGACCCTTGAAGAAAGTGTTCATCGTTCATCAACCGTTCATCCTAAAATCAAGCCCCAACGACCCTTTGGATCAACAACATCAACAAATCCACACATCCAACCGTTCTTCAAGATAAAGCCCAAAAGCCCTTGAAGATTCATTCATCAACTGTTCATCAAGATCAAGCCTCAAAGGCCCCTTGAAGATCCATTCATCAACAGTTCTTCAAGATCAAGCCCAAAAGCCCTTGAAAGATCCGTTCATCCATCAAACCTTCAAGATCAAGCCCAAAAGGCCCCTTTGAAGAAACTTCCAACCATTCATCCGAGATCAAGCCTCGACGACCCTTGGATCAGCATCACAATCCACAAATCAACACCTTACGGAGATCGAATCAGATGATCAAATTTGAGAGAGATTGTAACCCAAAATCATCAAATACAAATATTATTTTGTACGCGTTGTTCTTGTCTCGTTTGTTTTAGGAAAATTTCGTGTTTACATAGAGACTACTTGATGTGAAGACCGGAGCTAAGGGTGATGATTGGGAGGGACAAGAAGGAAGAGGAGCCTCGATGTGATAATCCTTGAAGCGAGGAGGTGGCTAGGCACGAGTTTGGTGGGACAATTGTTAGGGCAGCATGATCATAACTGGAGTGTGTTGCAGGTAGTAGTGGTGGTGACATCGGTGGTGAAGGTTCAGTGGCAGTTAGTGTTGCGAAGTTGAGCTCATTTGGTGGAGTTCTAGTCGTGGCAGGTGGTGGTTCTAAACTTGGTGCAGTCAGAATGGTGTTTGGTAGGACAATGGGTGTGTCTGATGAAGAGTGAGTGTAGGGAAATATATGTTCACGAAAGGTGACGTCTCGAGAAACAAATATTTTTCCAGTTTAGAGATCATAAAGACGATACCCCTTTTGCCTATAAGGGTATCCAAGGAACATGCACTGGGAGGCACGAGCATCAAATTTGGTGGGTTGTTTATCATGTGTGGAAACAAAACATAGACAACCTAAAACCTGTAAGTGATCATAGGCTGGTCATTTTTTGTAAAGAAGCTCATACGGTGTTTTCCTTTGTAGCAATGGTGTAGGTGTGCGGTTGATAAGATATGTGGCTGTCAAGATAGCATCCCCCCAAAAACGTTTAGGTAGATGAGCTTGAAAAAGAAGTGTCTAGCCGTGTTAACCAGGTGACGGTGTTTTCGCACGACAACTCCATTTTGTTGGGGAGTTCCAACACAACTAGTTTGGTGAATGATGCATTTATTAGAATAATATTGGTTCATGGTGAATTCGGGACCGTTGTCGCTGCGAATGATTTTGATTTTAGTTGAGAATTGGGTTTCCACAAGGTTTACAAAATTGGTAAGGTAGTGGTGTGTATTGGATTTGTGGTGCATTAGATAAACCCAGGTGCATCGATTGAAGTCATCGACGATAGTAAGAAAATAACATGCTCTATCATGTGTAGGGACATGATTACGGCAGTATTCAATGGTATGCCTTCTTGCGCTTCCAGCAGTATTCGATGGTATGCCCTTTGTTCCCACAAAATTCACACTTTAGATGGGAACGACAAGAATCTGAAGTATGACCAATCATATCACATCGATCACACTTTAGGCGAGGGTTCCGTGGCGTGAAATCTCTGCTTGAATTTCCTTTGTTGTTTTTCATTGAAAGGCAACAGCATCAACTGTGTTGTTTGATGTAGAGGACACTGTCCGTTGTTTTTCTTCCTGTAATATGAGTGAGTGTGCTTTGCTGACTGAGGGAAGTGGATCCATGAGGAGGATCTGGCCATGAGTGTATGCATCATTCAGCCTCATAAGAAACTTCATAGTCTTCTGACTCTCTCGGAACTGGAGGGTCTCCTTTATAGTGCCGTAAGAGCAGGTGTGGGGGGGGGAGATAGAACAAATGGCATCGCATTCATCCCATAAACCTTTGAGTTTAGTGTAGTAGGCGCTGATCGTCATACCATTTTGCACACAATCATGGACAACTTGTAGAAAAAAGTGAATTTTGTATTGCATTCAACATCAAACTGTTACAAGGATTTTATACACTGGAGGGATTAATTCCTGATCCTGGAATTGAGCCTATACAAGTAATTACATTCCTACAATTAAGGGATTACACAAAGGTTAAAGGATCATGTATCAGTCAGCATATCTCAATCCCTGATTATATGTTAATCATCATTTCTTTCCCTAACAAATTCCAATCCGAAGATAAATTTTGCAAATAATCTCAATTCTAAATTTATTAATTCATAATTCTTTAGAAATTTCAATTGAATTGTTTAGAAATTGAAACCCGATGCAGAGAATTGGTCCCTTTGGATGGCGATGGTGGAGAAACAGCCCTCCGTCACCATCTCCGCCTTCTTGAGACCTACAAGCTTCATTAATGGAGTTGTTCATCTATTTGTTTGTTCATTCGTTGTAGACTCAGATTTTGTTTGTGTATTTAAACACATATGGTCATCTAAAGTGGGCATAAATGAATGATATGAATTTACTTAAATTTTATTACTTTTCTCGCATTTTCCTTTCCCCTAATTTCCTTTTTCGTTTATGTCAATCTATGATCCTATCATTTGGTACTAGAGCCAGAGAGCCACCGTGGATTATGGTTTGCCTCCGTCGATCCCACACTTCCAACGCCGTGAAAAAGTGTGATGGATGATTCCAGTGATCAAGGATTCTATTAGAATCTAGCAACCAATGTTTCTCAGTATGACCTCATCTTCCTGTCGATCACTACCAGATTCCATTCCATACGAGTTAAGCCCACCTTTCCTTTTTCCGATTGTATACCAATCGACCACCAAATAACCTATCCTCGTATATGCATGGGCCTGCCGTAGCTCCTTTATATACCAGTCCCATTTTCCTCCCGCATACCACACTACCTTCCGTTATGTATTCTGACTCCATCGACGTCCCTCAAAGCTCTCTTTCCTTTGCCACAAACCCTAATTTTTACGATTCTCAAATTTACTCTCCATCTTCGTTATATGAAGGAAATTTGTGGGTTTTCGATTCCGAGAACCATCTACGATTTCATGACCCCTATCAGATCTCTCCTAACGAACTTGACCTGGGTCTTGGTTCGACAGTCTGCACGCAAGAAATGTCTTCAGCGTGGTCAGAGGTGTTCACCACATCTCTAAAAAGCGTTGCTTAAATAGGTTTTAGCAAAGTAGAAACATGGACAGGAAGGCTCCATCTATAATCTTTTGCCAACGACGTCATCGAAATCCCCTGATTCTATCCTTCTGCTACTCTATCACTACTATCGATACCTACATCACAAGCACAAGAACCATCCTCGCCACAATTTCCATCGCTGAATCAATCGTCAGTATCACCAGCCCTTAAAACCCATCGCATTCCACCGTTGCTGTCGACGTCACCATTGTTGACAGCAAAGGCGACTCTGTCCATGGCACGAGCTTCCATAATGGTCGAGTGTTTTCGAACAACAAATTGTTCTACCCTTACTCCTCAGAAAATTAAGTGTTTCCTGAAAACGATTTCGCATGTGGAGATGAACTGGAAGTTTTAGGGTTCCTTGACTACAGTCGATCCAAGAACTCTTCGAATCTGTCTTCCTTTGTAGCAGTATGCTTGTGCTCCTACTTTGGCACTAACAGTTCATTTTGCAGTAACATCGTGCTTATGATGTGATTGAATTCCGCTTGAAGAGTCACTCTCAAACTAGCAGCAATATTAGTAGAGTTGTGCCACTATTGGGTAGCTCTACTGGTGAAATTACAAATTTTTCTAACAAGGAAGAGGTTATTCAGGAAGCCCGACAAGTCCCTCCACCTAAAGAACCCGATAAGGCACTCTTCTGTCAGGTACCAATCTCACATTTTCCACAGAAAAATGTACAATTGAATTCGGAATTTTCTAAGTCTGCTATAACCTTGGAATGTAATGTGTCCATTTTTTAAAAGTAGAAGGACAATACTTGTCCAGGATGTGTTTGATGAAATGTCCAAAAAAAGGATTAAGCTTAGAATGCCTGATGTTCTAAACAACAACTTGAAAGAAACATATGAGTGGGTGTGCCGATTGATGAGTTTATAGAATATGTATTTAGTGGATATAGGGCAATGAGAATGTTAAGTTTTCCATTTGGTGAAGGGGGGTTTGCCAATAGAATGTTTGTTGAAATACAGAAAAAAGGGATTCAGTGGGACAATGACTTTAATGGGTGGGTCAATATGTCTCCTGCGAGCACGTTTGTGATGGCTTTGAATGAAGATAAAGTGTTCGATGAAATAGCTAAGAGATGGAGTAAGGTTATAAGGTACCGTTTGATATGTGGGACGGACGGAATAGAGTGGGATAAGGTGTTCTATCCTATGTTTGGTGCGCCTAAAACAGGTGGAATGCGTTGTTCCACAGGACGAGTTTTGGGTGAATTTTGGTTCCGACTCACCCCCCTGGAACAACTGGTTCCATGTCTGTAGAACACAAAATTATAACATTTTAAAACAATAATACCCCTTATCTTTTTCAATATTTACATCATCAAAAAAACAAACTCTAAAATTCTATCTTCTTCGTTCCATCTTCTCTGCCTGCAGCTGCCTTTACCCATAGCCTTCCTCCTCATCCTCTCCCGTAGCAGCTGCATCTCCAGGTTCGATCTTGATCTTCTCCCGTAGCCGTTGCATCTCCAGGTTCGTTTTCTTGATTTTTCCATGGAAAATTTCAATCGGAGTCAGAGCAGCGACTACACGTCGAAGGACGAAGGCACGGAGGACTATCGGCGCGGCGGCTACCACGCCATCCGAATCAGTGACACTTTCAAGAGCGGACGGTATGTCGTTCAGACCAAGCTCGGCTGGGGCCATTTCTCCACCATCTGGCTCGCCTGGGACACCCAACACTCTGTACTCCTCTCTCCTTCTTTCTTCTCTTTTTATGATACTGCGTTTTATTGCTTTTTGATATGAGGTTGTAGATATTAGTCGTTTGAGAATGTGGGGGAAAGTAATTGAAATTTTAATCTTGTTCTTGGTTTTTTTTTATCTTTGACATGCTTAGTTTTAAGTAAATTAATTAATGACAAATGTGTTTTGTTTTTGTTGGGTGGGTGTTGAATTGCACAAAAATGCCAGAGATTTGTTGCTCTGAAAGTGCAAAAGAGTGCTGACCACTACACCAAGGCGGCCATGGATGAGATAACCATCTTGAAACAGATTGCAAAGGGAGACCCAGATGATAAAAAATGTGTGGTGAAGCTATAATGTAGAGAACCTAATTATTTAGAGAACCTATCTTCGAATAATTTGGTTATTGCTCTCCTTCAAGCTGACTTGGCAATCACAGAAAGAAAAAAATTTCCCAAATCAGTCAAAAAAAAAAATCCAAATTAACCCAACCCATTCCTCTGTCATAATCTTTTGATTAGTTTTCCTATCTCTACTCCTAAATTTGTCTTCCATGCTCTCTTTCCCATTTTTCCCTCACCCTAATATCCCACCTGCAAAATCTGAACACTGTGACCTTTCCCTAGCTAGCTAGAAATTTTTATCACCCTCCAATCCCATTTCATTCCAAGTCCATCACAAAAATGGGACAACAAACTCATAACAAAAATACAATGTAAAAACCATCCCAAATCAGAAAGAATAAAGCGAAAAGAAAAAAACACATCATATACCTTTAACACAACAGCTTGAATAAACCCCAACAAAAATTTACAAACTCTGAAAGGCACCGTTTCCTAACTTAAAGAAAAAAAAAGGTATCACCCATCCGTAACAACAAATCAACCAAGCACATAAAACTCAATTAAAACAGCATTTAGAAGCACTATAAACCCAAATTACAAAAAATATCATTGTGATCAATTGTTTGTTTGTGATAACTATCTATTTTTGAAGCTTTCACTAATCAATCCTTGGTTGTAGACCAAGAAAGACACGATGGGCACACACAATTAGAAGCTCTAGGCAAACTTGAATTCAGGATATGGTTTCTGATATTAAATTACGCTGGAGGGTGTGCAAAAGTTGGACTGTGGCTTATTTGGTTCTACTTCTGAATTGCTTCTTGATTAAACTGTTTACTTAGCTGCTTTTAGGTGTCTTTACTTATGAATCAATTTTTTTAGAATGAAGTTAGAAGATGTTCTAGCACCAAAGACCATGCCGATGCAGTGGTTTGAGAACACAGTTTGGGAAACTTTGGGTAGGAAATATGCTCGCAAGGAAAATCGACAATAGGTGAGCATGACTCTCAAAGCCGGTTTATGTTTAAATTAGTGAATCACCATAATCTTTGCTGGTTGGTTTTCACTCATGGCCTATTTTTTCAAGTTCCTGTAAAGAAAATTGGTCTTTTAACATGCTCTTTTCTAAATTTTAAAAAGGATCGTAATTTTGTAAATAAATTCAAATCCCAAATTGAAATTGCAATGTGACATGGTTTTTTATCCTAGCCATAATTAGACTAATGTGATTTATACCTAGAGACTAATGTGCTTTTTCACATCCTTTTTTCTCTCAAAATTTATAGAAATATGAAAATGATCATCACAAATTTCAAAACCTGCATTAACCGAAATTAAAAGGAAATGGACACCATAAGTGCTTGCAAGATGAGAGAAGGGAAACAAAAAGGAAATGGTGCATTTGAACAGAATGATGACAATTTAAAACTTTAATTATGAAAATGCATAATTTTCATATGTGTTAGATGAATGAGTTATTTTAGGATTACAATGCCAATCTTTCGTATTTCGAACTTGCGAAAGATGGTCCTGAGGGTGATAAAACTCATGTTTCAACGCGAGTCATGGGAACCTATGGATATGCAGCCCCAGAGTATGTGATAACTGGTGAGTGTGTGCGTGTGTGTTCTGTAACCATCAGTTCATCATATATCAATATAACACACTCCAATTCAACCTATCCAATTCAAAGTAGCACATCTCTAATTCAACATATCCAATTCAAATTAGCACATATCCAAATTCCAATTCAATAAACCACATATCCAAATCAAACTAAATACCTAATATTCAATCACATATCCAATTCAAACTACATGGCTAATATTCAATAACATGTCCAATCTTTTAGCACATTTACAAAACAGATTTAGAACACTATAAAGTCTACTGAGCAGGAGAACCTAAACATCAAAATCCAACACAAAGACAAAGCAGCATACCAATTCTCTATCTTGTATGCTCTTTTCAGCTGGATCTTCTTAACTCGTTTGAAAACTTGTTCTATGTGCTCTGTTGCATCCTGCAAATTTGTTAAATCAACTTAATAAGTAACACTCTAATTCTTTTTTAGCCAAACTAAGCCGAAAATTGTCAATCCCATAAAAAAGTTGCATCTTTTTCACTGTATTTTTCCATAATTTAATCACAGAGAATCGGTCAAAGCAAGGGAAATTATGTTGATGTTTCATCTAATCGCCAAATACTGAATAAGGTTCTCAAGATTTTTCATTGAAAAATTGACACAGTTTAAGGGCATTACTCTAAAGATGCTTTGCAAGTAATGAAAAGCTGACCAAGTTGATATCAATCACAAATCCAAATGAATGTTATATAATGAAGCAAAACACTTAAAACGAACAAGGTTAAAGAGGTTTAAAAAAATGTGTGCTAAACCTAATCATGAAAGAGAGAATGATGCGGAAAAAAAAGAAGGTAAAAACTAAGGAGAAGCAGAAAAAAAATACAGGTAAATACGTTTGTTTTCCAAGTGAGGTTTTTGGGTCGATGGAATTTTTGTGTATAGAATAATGGGATCAATTAAATTCTAGTTCATGTGTTTTAAGACCAATCCCACCTCAAAAAATAAGAGTAAATTTGTATTGATACCACAGTGATAAAAATGGATAAGTTTTATACGTGGATGGTTACAGAGTTATGGGCTGACCTGGTTCATAAAGAAAAATAAGAAAAACTTAAATATTGACAAAAAAGATGAAGTTTTTTTTTTTTTTTATGTTATAAGTGACCATATCAGTATATATTGAATAAAGGTTTTTTCTTTTGAAATGCAAAAGGAAAAAATGTTGAAAAATAAATTAAAAGTTGAGAGTGATCAATGTTATACCTTGAAGACCGCAAATAGAGGCAGTTCTTTCAGATTGATTCCAATTTGGCTGTAGGAAGCTGAAACAGATTCAAATTGTAAACATTTTGCACCAAAGATTGGATACGGAGAGACACAAATACTGTTTCCAATGAATAAAAGTGAGTGCAAATATAATCGTTTCGTATACGATAAGGTAGGGAAAACGACGATCAACATATTGGGATCTGATGATCATATGTAAGAACAATCGATAACGGTGATTAATACAAAATTGTAGCTGCTAGTGGTTGAGTTTGAAACAAAGAGGTAAAACATACTGATGCTAAATTTGATTTTAAAGGTTGGTAACAATCATGGAACGATGCTGGATATGATTATAGCCCATGATAAAGTTACTTTTATAATTATTTATTGGCTAACATTGCATTCATGGTATAGTTAAAGGCTCTATACGTTTTTAGCACCAATTAAGTTTGGTTCCAATGCGTACAGAATGAAAATAAAATGTTGGGGTTAACATTGAACAGTTTAAAGATTAAACTGGTTAGAACAGTTTAAAACCAAAGATATCGCTTGAGAATACATTAGGTGATCAAATTATCCAACGAAAGATTTTAAACTGAGGACAATGGGTTGCACAAAAGTGAAAGAGAAGCGGATAAAAACAAAAAAAATAGAAAAAAAAAAGGCAGGCAACAACAAAAGTAACAGAAAACTAACAACGCAAAATACTTGATACATTGAAAACTAAATGTCTAAACGGATTATATACCTTCAATAAACACTGGTGCTTCTTGAAAGTGAAGAAGAATGAAATCAGTAGAATTTATCTGCAGGATCACAAAAAGAGAATTTAAATGTAGAATTTATCTGTAAATCAAAAACTCCAAAAAGACAAACAATGAATAAAAAAATGAGGTGCATCAAGAAAAGAAACCTTACCAAGCTCAAAGCCCTAATGTCTAATCTAAATTAGAGAACACTAACCCAGAACACAAAGTACTACACGTTTCTTAGGAAATTACTTTGTTGTGGAGGCTATATATATAAGTGATAATTTCAGTAACCTGTTGCTGAACCTCCGTTTATCAAAACATAATAAAGTAAAGTACATAGAAAAAGCATCGTTAAATCTTCCTAACTATAAAGTACCTGAACATTTTTTTCACTCACACCAGGGACACCACAAAGTAAGGAACTAATAGCCCAACTAATTGGTTAATGTCCAGCAAACCTTCCACTTGTTTATATGAGGATATGGCTGCACCAAAAATAAATATAGTTAAAATAAATTCAACCAATATGGCATGGAAACCATGGGAATTAATCATACGAACCGAGTCAATTGACCGAAAAACACAACATAAAATGCATCAAACCATCAAGAAAACAGAATCAAATTGATGTCCAAAGTCTAGGGTAAACAACACACAAAGACGTGAAGTGGCAGATATTTGAATATGTACGCTCACCGTTGGGATGTTTACCAATATTTAAGTACCATTGCAGACAAAGTAATATGCGTTGGGTGAGTGATATATAAGACTTATAAGTTGCTTTATTTGACATTTGCAGATTGAGTGGCTTTATTAGGACCCTCCGGTGTCTCTATGGAATCAATTTATTAATAGCTTAGGGAGTCAATTAATCTTTTGAAATACAAAACTTTAAAAGTTGAATGGTAGATTCTTCAACTTCTCAGGAACAGGTGCTCTTGACAGTACATGAACAAAACATGCTAACTGATCTACAGAACCTGTGTTCGCTGACCAGTGATGGAAACAATCAAATGCAAATAATTTTTTCGGGGGTGATTAATTGTGGCAAAGAGATCCTATAGAGATGGGATAAAATGACATTGAAATAGGAATCCCAACCCAAATATCATCACAGAAGCAAAACAAAAACAGTGAATCATAAAAAGCTCCAAGAGTCAGAATTCTAGAAGAGGAAAACAGAATGCTCTCAACTCAAGCAACAGTATCAATATTGTTCTACTACATTACACGTTATATAATGAGCATTATTTTTATTGAGATATCTCACATCTCAAAAAGTTCAGAAATTCCAACAAAGGTGACGACCACATTATATAAAGAAGAAACCTAGACCTAGTTGAACACGCATAAACAGGCTTGCTTTAATATCATAAAGATACAACTAAGATATTTCATGCTGACTCAGGCAAACTAAGTAGACGCAATAAGAACTCCAGAAAGGTGGAGGCAGGAGCACTAAACACCTTGGAGGTTCTAGATAAACGCAACACAATTATTAGCATCTAATGTCCATATGCTGGATTTGAAATTACATGAATATCACAAATAAACAGAATGGATTAGAACAAACTTTTGGCAACTCTAATATGGGTAGCTGCATTTGGAGTGGAGATGGTTGTGTTACTGTTGAAAGCTGAGAACGATCAGTGACACCATCAATGTCCTCCTCATTGATGTCATACAGACTCAATATCCTGCATGGTAAATCACATGAAGATACATGAAACAGCGGAGGTGGTGGCAACTAATCATGGAAGGAACAGATACCATCATTCATCATCTCTTCCCAAAAACTACAGATACGTTTTAATTCGACAACTATGAATACATATTCAAATTGGGAAAAAGTAGGACATAAAACATACCCAAAAAGTAACAGTGGCGTTCTAGCTACTGCCAAATCTCAGATTTATCAACTGAGGAGACAAAACGCAAAATCCCCTTTTAGCTGGGAAAGCCCTGACAACTCACCACAACTCACCATAAAACCAAACTGTTAGGGTGTCGTCCAAATTAACAAAAATCCAAAATTAAAACTCAAATACAGTACCTGAGTTGAATAAAACTCATTTCACTATGATCTGAATACAGGCCGCGCACAAACTGGGATGGAAATTCGTCAGAAATCTGGCAACAACTTCAGAATCCCAGACGGCAAAGCCATCGATCTCATCGATTCAATCTGCTACTCCTAAGGAGGTATCGTTTGTTATGCAAACGGGACGGGATGGAACATAATGGAATGGGACGGGATAGGATGGGACAGAACGGAGAGGAAGTAAAGATGCCTTCGGATGTAAACAAGGAAGAAGAAGGAGACGGAGAGGTTATAATTTTGTGTTCCACGGATGTGGAACGAGTCGTTCCAGGGAATGAGGAGGAACGAAAATTCACCCAAAATTCGTCCCGTGGAACAACACGTTCCACCCGTTTTAGGCGCACCAAACGTGGGACGGAATGCCTCATCTCACTCCGTTCTGTCCCGTCCCGTCCCACATACTAAACGGTACCAAGGAACCAAATCCCTAATTACTCAAGCAGCCGAATTCAACAGATCTCAACAAATTAATGCAAGTAAAATACAAAAAATTATAAAAATCAAATGAAAATAATAAAGCTGCAAAATGAAGTAGCAATAGTGTACCTTTTCAAATCAAAGGGATTATCTCGCAATCTCATGGGGAGTTGTGAGATTTGTGGATGCTTAAAATACACTGCAAAATTTCTCAAATTTTCTCAAATTCCTCAACTTTTCCAAATTCTTTAAATTCTAATTCTAATTGAATACACCTGGAATGTTATAAACTTCTTTAAAATTCTAATTTAATACACCCAGATTTCTAAAGATTTTAATAAACTATCTTAAAATCCTGATTGAATACACATTGAATTTCAGAGAATCACTTAAAATCATGATTGAATAGCCCTTGATTCATTAAAAGAATTAAAATCCCTCAAAATCTCAATTGAATACAAAGAGAAAGTTAGAGAGAACCAAAGATTTGGGGGTTTTGAATGGAAAGCTAGAACGGAAGATTTCGAGACAAAAGTAAACATTAAAGAGGACACCAGCACAACTGAATACAACATGAATCATCCAAAATATAGTGCAACTACATGTATATATTAAATTCACAAAAATAAATAAATAAATAAGGAAAAGTGAGAAAAAAAAAATTGGCCTCTATTGAGAGCAATAGTTACGGTACACTTTTTGGTGAGGTTGGCGGAGAGCTCACTGTAGTGGTGCTCGTACCCTTCGAATACGTCACTCATCTTTCCCTAAGTTTCTATCTGCATTCAACCCATCACACAATTTCAGCAATAATTCAGATACAAAGCCCTAAATCCAACAAATTTGGGAGATTGATGCGAATTATGATGAAAATTTGAACGATCTGATATCAATGGAATTGGAAGTAAATACCTGTTTCAATATGAGATTTGAATGGATCGCCGGAGACGACGGCTGAAAAGCAGTGGCGGGTGTTTATTTTTTGTTCTAGGTGGTGGTGGCTTGATGTTGAAGCGATCGAAACGGATCGAAACGGTAATGTGCGCAAAAGTAAACCTCTCTCTCTACATGTGACCCTTCCTTTCACGATTTCACCGCCAAAGCCCACTCATTTTGGTCAACAAACAAAATAGTGGCAGAGTTGTAATTATAATGAAATTCAGTGCAAAACACTATTCATTTCTACTATGCCAATTCCAAACCTTTCTTTAGACTAAAGTAATTGGACTCCTACTTCTAGTTTACAAAATTATACTTCTAGAATACTATTTACAATAATCCCCTTTAGTGTACAACTCATAAGATATTACTGAAATAATAATCTCACATCCCGGCCCGGGAGGGACCACTTCCCGGGCCCGCTCCATTACCGTAGCATAATATTGTCCGCTTTGGGCTTACCATTCCCTCACAGTTTTGTTTTTGGGAACTCACGAGCAACTTCTTAGTGGGTCACCCATCCTGGGAGTGCTCTGGCATTTTTCTCGCTTAACTTCGGAGTTCCTACAGAACCCGAAGCCAGTGAGCTCCCAAAAGGCCTCGTGCTAGGTAGGGATGTGAATATACATTTAAGCATCACTCCCTTGAGCGATGTGGGATGTTACAATCCGCCCCCTTAGGGGCTCGACGTCATCGTCTGCACACTTCCAGCCAGGGATTGGCTCTGATACCATTTGTCACATCCCAGCCCGAGAGGGACCATTTCTAGACCCACTCCATCACCGTAGCACAATATTGTCCGCTTTGGGCTTACCATTCCCTCACGGTTTTGTTTTAGGGAACTCATGAGCAACTTCCCAGTGGGTCACCCATCCTAAGAGTGCTCTGGCCTCCTTCTCGCTTAACTTCGGAGTTCCTACAGAACCCGAAGCCAGTGAGCTCCCAAAAGGCCTCGTGCTAGGTAGGGATGTGAATATACATTTAAGGATCACTCCCCTGGGCGATGTGGGATGTTACAAATAAAGACAACAACAAGATATTAGGATCACATATTTGATAAACAAAATTACAATAAACCAATTATGCTTAGAATACGGAAGACATGACTCTTGCAGATAACTAAGGAGTCTTCTACTTTCAACAAGACAAGTGTTCCAGCAATAATAGGAAATGCTCAGAATGGAACGTTTGTTTTGTGAAAGCAGGTACACCATTATATAGTGATTAAGGTTCCTCCAATCCCGCCTATTATATAGTAATTGGAGTAATACAACAAATCACCATTTAATCTTAATATTGTCCCACCAAGGCATGTACAATATGTCTTAATTAAGGTTTCAATTAGTCAACTAAATATATCTTGGTTCCATGATTCTTGCTAACCAATACGGAATCATGATCTTGAAAATCAAGCTATTTACCTTTTAAATAATTTGATTCATAATAATAGACAACTCAACATGAGTCTTACACAACTTAAGATGTAGTTGCATCAGGTTTTCAGGAAAATATAGAAACAGTTGATGAAGCCATATTGTTCGACACAGGCAACGCATACGTGCGAAGTAGAAAAATGTGAGTCGCCGCGACACGTCGATACTTGACATGCACCAAGCGGTAGAAAATGCACGGAAAGGTATCCTCATTTTTGCAGGTTCATTATGTTGCGAAGTGGAAGGGTATCACTTTTATGACAAGTAGACAAGGAGTTGGTGTTGGTGGAGGAACGGTAAGACTTGAGTAGTACTGCTATTCACATGTATATGTAAGGAATAAGCGGGCACCACTAATGTCCTTTTAAACTTAGGATAAAATGAACCAACCAATTTTACGATTATAAATTTAACTTGTGGAATAACTAATTGTCCATTAACCAAAACTTGGATCATTGTTTTGCACTGTTTAAAATGGTTCCGCTTAATAAAACTGCACTTGAGTCTAGAACAGTTATATTTATTCTGTTAAAGTGCTGACAGTCTTAACAGACATCCTCTCTTGCATAAGATGAAGCGCCAGTTATCCGGTTGTCATTGATACCTTGATGCTGCAGCTATGCTACCATAAAAAAAGTTGGGGTTCCACTATAAAACCAATTGGCAATATGTGAAGTAACTCAACTTACTTATAAGCACATGCAAGGTCCCTCCTTCCATTAATGTGGAATTTATTTTCAACACATCCCCTCACGTGTGACGAAGTTGAGGTTCCCCATAAAGCCAATTGGTTTTATGGTAAAACTGCAACTTTCTTCATGGTATCAAAGCAGGTTGTCTAACATGGGAGACCCAATGGCCATACATGCTCCACGTCACCCGATTTATGTTGTCTAAATGTTAGGCTTGAAAATTCACCACACTTGAGGGGTCATGTTAAATGAATCCCGCATTGATGAGATGAGAGACCTTATATGTGTTTATAACTAGAACCTCAACTTTCTTCAGATTTGACCTAGGCCAATCTGAGAGGGGATCAGTCTTTAAAGGTTTAGATCTTGATGTAAAAGGCATGCGGGTAGGAGGCCAGTTGAGATTAGTTTATTGGCATGAAATTTATTTGTTATGTCTTGAAGCAGAATAACTTTAGTTTACGCGTTGCAGAAGAAAATTAAGGTTCTTCCTTCTTTTATGCTGTTTGTTGATGCACAAAACCGAAGGTCTTGGAACAACGTAAATCCTGCCGTGAATCTGCATGAAATGTAAATAACACAAGATGTATCGTGGTTCACCCCAATGTTTAGGCTACGTCCACACTGTAGTTGATTCTGTTTCTCTGTAAGTGTATGGATACAAGCGTTTGGGGGAAGTCCCCCAGAGAAAGAAGAGAAGGGAGAGGAGAGCCTCGGTGGTGTGAGGTCTCTCCTGAATGTAATGAGAGCTTCTCTTAGCCTTCTTAGGCTTGGCTCTTTTGCCCCCCTTAGAATGAGGGTAGGAGTCCCCTTTTATAGAATAAGGGGCTCCTCCTCTTTTACAAAGTATGGGCTTTAGTGTGAGGCCTAAATACAAGGCCCAAGGCCCAAATATACAAAGCCCTAAATATGGTATAAACAGTAGTCCCCCAAGTCTTCAGTCAAGAGAGTCTTTTGGCTGGAGACTTGAAATTCAGTCCATGTGTGGGCCGAAGTAACTAGATACTGTCTTGAACTGATGCTCGATATGAGGCAGTGCTCAATCTGAAATGACGCTCAACTAGAAGTAGCACACGCTGCGAGGCTACTCGGCTTGTGGCTTATGTTGCCTTGGTTGGCTCAGCTTGTGGCGTTGAAGGTGAGGGAGTCCTTTTTATAGAATAAGGGCTCGCTCCTCAATACATAAATGATGGGCTAGAGTTGATGATCGCGGCGAGACGGTTGCTCAGTAGGCGGCGATGCTCTCTAATGGTGGTGACGGAGTCCCTTTTATAGAATAAGGGCTCGCTCCTCAATACATAAGTGATGGGCTAGGAGTGATGCTCACGGCGAGGCGGTTGCTCAGCAGGCGGCGATGCTCTCTAATGATGGTGAGGGAGTCTTTTTTATAAACTAAGGGCTC